GGCCCCTGCGGCGGCGCCGCGCGCTCGGGGCGCGGTGAGCTTGCGCGCGTTCTGGCCTAGCACGCGGCTGCGGAAGCGCGCACTCCTGTCCCGCGCCTGGAGCCCGCTGTTCCTCCGAGGAGCTCGGATGCCTTCCAATGGTTTAATGTTTCATTTGTTTGAAAGGAATGTCACAGTTTTGTGAAATTAAAAAAAAAATTTTGAGCATTCAACCACAGTAACGGTAGGATGCCGGAGCAGCCGGGTTGCCTAGGACTGCACTGGGTTCAGCACCGGGAGCCCCGAGCCCCGGGAGCCCGCAGCCTCCGGGGGAGTCCGCGCAGGGGGAGGACCGCCCGTGTTAGAGGCGGGGCGCCAGTGCTCCCGGTCGCGGCCTGTCCCTGGCTCAGCCCCGCTCAGAAGGGGCCCGAGGAGGGAGAGGGAAGGCCGTGACCCGTAAACCGTGTATGTGGAGGTTTCTTCTGGGCTCTGTTCTGTTCCATTGGTCTGCATGTGTTTGTGCCAGCACCACAGTTTGCCTGACAGTAGCTTTGTAGTAAGTTTTGAAATAGGGAAGTGTGAGTCCTCCAAATTTGTTCTTGTTTTTCAAAATTACTTTGACTTTCAGGCTTCCTTAAGATTGCCTATGGCCCGGCCGGGCGTGGCTCAGCGGTTGAGCGTCCACCTGGGACCCAGGGGATCTGGGTTCGATTCCCGGTCAGGGCACATGCCCGGGTTGCGGGCTCGATCCCCTGTCGGGGGTGTGGAGGAGGCAGCCGATCAGTGATTCTCTCTCATCATTGTTTCTCTCTCTCTCTCCCCCTCTCCTTTCCTCTCTCTGAAATCAATAAAAAGATACATTAAAAAAAAAGAGTCCATACAAGTTTTAGCATAAGTTTTTCTAATTTCTTTTACCATTGGTTTGCAATTTTCAGTCTACAGGTCTTTTGTCTCCTTAGTTAAATCAGTTCCTAAGTATTTTTATGCTATTTGAATGGAATTGTTTTCTTAATTTTTTTTACAGAATGTTCATTGTTAGTTATAGAAATGCAACTGATTTTTGTCTGTTAATTTTGTACCCTACAACTTTGTTGAATTTGTTTATTACTTTCATAGGTTGTTTTGTGTGTTAGAAGTTGGTGTGAAATCTTTAGAGTTTTCTACATATAAGGTGGAAGGGGTCAATTGGGGAAAAGGGGGACATCTGTAATATTTTCAATAAAAATAAATTTTTTAAAAAAGATTGTGTCATCTATGGACAAAAATAATTTTCCTTTTTCCTTTGAATACCTTTTATTTATTTTTCTTGTCTAATTGCTCTGGCTAGGACTTCTAGGGAAAAAAGGACAAAAGTGGGCATTCTTGTCTTATTTCTGATCCTAAGGGTAGAGCTTTCAGTCTTTCAAGATTGAGTATGATGTTTTCTGTGGGTTTTTCATATATGGCCTTTATTATGTTAAGGAAGTTTCCTTCCATTTCTGGTTTGTTGAGTGTTCATCATAGAAGGGTGTTAGACTTCATCAAATGTTTTTCTGCATCAACTGAGATGATCATGTGGGTATTTCCCCCCTTCGGTCTGTTAATGTGGTATATTACATTGGTCAGTTTTCATATGATGAACTATCTTTGCATTCTGGGAATAAATCCCATCTTGTCATGGTGTGTGATCCTTTTAATATGCAGTAGAATTTGGTTGGCTAGCATTTTGTTGAGTATTTTTATAGCAATATTCCTAAGGGATAAAGAATCTGTAAGGAAGGTATTTTAAAAGGCATTTTAGGCTTTTTTTCCATACCAACTGACCAAGAATACATTTTAAGAAATGTATATTTTCTGTGCATATTTTTTAAAATTATAAATTCCAGGGCACTTTTTTTTCCTCATCATCACTGTCAGTGACATTGACTTGCTAGATGCTAGAAGGGGTTGATGTAGGGGCTGTTAAGATGTTCTCCAAGACTCCAGTGTCCAGCTGAGGCATGGCATTTAGGTATTGTTCCCCACTGTGGCTATGACTATTATAGTAAGAGGTCCAGGCATGCGCTCACAACTCTGAGAATCTTCACTGTGTGTGCATTCATCTGGATAGTTTCAGAAAGGATGGCCTCTAAAGCTGAAAACAGCCTCATGTTTTTGGCACCTGTCTTCATAATCACCAAAGCATTTTGGCATTGAACTTGGGAAATTTCCATAGCCAGAGGGAGGCCAACTATAAAGGCACGTACTTATGAATAAAGCTGCTACAAACATTCATATGCAGGTTTTTGTGTAGACATAAGTTTTCTATTTGTTTGGATAAATACCAAAAAGTGTTATTGCTGGGTCATATGGTAAGAGTATTTTCAGTTTTATTTGAAACCAAACTGTCTTCCAAAGTGGTCGTACCATTGTGCATTCCCACCAGCAATGAATTAGAGCTCCACATCCTCACCAGCATTTTGTGTTGTCAGTGTTTTGAATTTTGGCAATTCTGATGTGTGTGTAGTACTATCTCGTTTAAATTGCAATTCCTTAATGGTATATGATGTGGAGCATCTTTTCATATGCTTGGTTGCCATCTGTATATCTTCTTTGGTAAGGTGTCTGTTCAGGTCTTTTGTCCATGTTTAATCAGGTTGTTCATTTTCGTATTGTTGAGCATATAATATTCTTGAAATGACAAAATTAAAGAGATGGAGAACACATTAGTGGTTTCCAGGGGTTAGAGGTGGGGAAGGGTGTATGAGGGTAAAAAAGGCAACATGAGGGATCCTTGTGGTCTTGAAAATGTTTTGTATCCTGCTATGATATGTGACATGAATATACACGTGACAAAGGTGCACGGAACTAACACATAGTAAGTACATGTAAACCTAGTGGGATCTGAGTTAAACGGGTGGCTTGTATCAATACCAGCTTCTTGGTTGTGATATTGTACTATAGTTGTGAGAAATACAACATCAACTGAGAGAATATGATGTGGCTTTAATTTGATAAGTAAGGTATTAACCCAAAGTGCTCATTTCTGTCAGAGATAAATGTATAATATTAAAATTATACATATTTGTACATGAAAAACATTATACAGAGAAAAGTAATCCCCCAACAAAGAGATACAAGCATGTATTTTTCATTAAAAAAAATGATAGTTTATGATACACATGGTTTCTTTTTTAAAAATTTTTTTAAATTGACTTTAGAGTGGGGAAGGGGGAGAGAGAGAGAGAGAGAGAGGGACATCAGTGTGAGAGAGAAACATCTATTGGTTGCATCTCGAACATGCCCTGGCCGGGGATCAAACCCACAGCCTGGGCCTGTGTCCTGACTGGGAATAGAGTCTCCCACCCATCGGTTCATGGAATGATACCCAACCAACTGAGCTACTTCGACCAGGGCTACGCATGGTTTCTTATCAGCATATGTTTTTATGGCTGCACAGTGCACCATGGTAAGTATGCCATGCTTTCTCACCATTGATGGACATTTAGGTTGCTTCTGGTCTTTTACAAACTTGTTTACCAGTACAGCAATAAACATCCTTGTTCATCATTTTTGAGGCCAGCATAGTTCTCTTGTTCCTGGAAGGGAGACATTTCAGTTGGTAAAAGTTTCTGAATTAATATTGCCATGGGTGTTCAACAATATAGCTGCTAGGATGGGAGCTGTTTGGGCTCCTCTTCCAGTTCAGCTTCTGACTGATGAATGGATACCTCCGTCCCTTGGGTGATCCGGNGCCCGTGATTGGCCGGGGCCCGAGTGGCGCCCCCCCATCCCCTCGCCACGGCCCCGCCTTCCGGGGCACTGTGGGTGCCGTAGTCCCGCCCTCGCACCAACTATGAGGACCGTCATGCGCCGCGCCTGCCCGCCCCTGGCCCTGATTGGCCCGCGAGGCGGCCGTCGTAGAGCCGGAAGTACGCCGTTTTCCGGTGCTCGCGCCCACTCTCCCTCCCGGGCTCTCGAGGCTGGCGGTGGTGCCCTGGGCTGCGGGATAGGACGCGCCGTGCCCGGGGGCCGCGCGCGGGGCGCCCGGGA